ATATCTATATATCTTGAACAAATGTTTAAATGAAATACATTTTTAACTCAACATTTTGAACATCAGCTCTTTGTATTTTACTATGATACAATGTTAATTGTTTTAGAATGTTCCAATAATAAATATGGCATAAACTGTAGCCAGCCTTGTGGTAAATGTCTACAGCCTTCATCTTGTCACCACATCAATGGATCTTGTTTAACTGGATGCGACAGGGGTTTCTATGGAGCATACTGTTTACAAGGTAACGTATTAATGCAATAATATATTGTAATTCTACCCTTTTAGTTTTTGAAGACAGCTTGATCTCTTGATTTCAATATCTCTTTATAGCAAACTACACTTTAAGTTAACAAAGACAGCTTGCACTCATAAGTTCAATGTCTCTTTTCAGCGAGTTATCAATTTGATAATTTTCACTGTCAATGTATATGATTACTTTCAGAATGCAGTCCATATACTTATGGGTTTGATTGTATACAGAACTGCAGTGAGAGTTGCATAAATAAAACATGTGACTCCGTCTTTGGAGATTGTGAAGTTTATGGGGTTTGCATAATATTTGATGAATTTGACATATTTTTCACTAGAGGTCTTCTCATTATAGATTTGAAAAGTTTTAATTTCAGATTTTCAAAAAAGTACTTTTGTTCATATTGTAGGCTCTTACTGAGAATAAGGATGAAAGTAATCAAATTGAAATCTCTGGAGGTATCGCTGGGGGTGTCCTTGTCCTTCTTGTAATTCTGATCGTGGTGCTGGTATTCAGAAGGTAATTTTTGTAATGTTTGGTACGAAAAACAATTAAATGTAATCGGTCTAACCTGTATACTTCTAATCACATTCTTAGATGTATTATCTTACATTTAGGTACCATGCAAATAAAGGAACTGAGAACAAGAATAAGACTCAAAAGGCAGTGCACTGTGAGATATTTCATTTAGATTTTTTTAAGGTTGACTTATTTAATTTAAAGCATAATAAATGCAATAAATCGAGTTTTTCTTTAAAGGTGAAAAGGGAGAAAGTGTGAAAAGTTTTTCTGTAATTGATACAAACGCCCCATCATCTTCAAAGGGAGAAAAAATTAAAAGCTCCAAGAAAAGAAATTATGAGCAAAATTTGATGGGTAAAAAACAGGATAACATAGCTGAAGTTGATGAAGATGAAATAGTTCACTCTGAAAATCCATATGGTGAAATGTACATAAATGACATAGCAACACCGGATATTCCGATGAGCCGGTTAGAAAATGTTATCACTGAGAAAGGGAAAGATGATAATGACGGATTTCAAAAGGAGTATGCAGTACGTAAGATTTTATAATCAAAGAAAATTTTTGCATGTGAATGAAATTTCAACATAAAAGACTTTCATGATGCCTATTTTTCCAGATAAACAACTAAGTTTTTTTTTTTCTTTTCTTTTTTTAATTTGTTAAAAGCAGATACAAGTAAATAGCATTAAATAGAAGTGAAGTATTTATTTCTAAAAGTAAAAAGCGAAAGAAGTAAAACACAGTATACAAAATGGGGGATCAAAAAAGGGAATAAAAAAAGAGTATGGAACATCTTAGGCTAGAGGGAAAAGGTGGGGTCAATTAGACAAGAACAGGAATTCAAACCCTTTAATCTTTCATAAGGTAGTGGGTCCCTGAATTTCAATATGACCTCCTTATTATAAACATCATCAGATTAAAAAACATATAAAAATTGCACTTATCCGATGCCTGCCATTTTAAAGGAATTTAAAACCAAATAATATGTTCCCGATTCTCCTAAAAATTATAATAAAATTTTTGAATAGTAAAATTTTCGAGGGAAAACAATATACAAACTATCATCGTTTTAAAATGAAGAAAATTTTAAGGTGAATGTTTTTTACTTTTCCCTTAGTGATAAGATATGTCAGAGATTCAAAATTAATTAAAAAAAATAAAACAAACTTCACAGTGCTACTAATGGAATACCACATGCCATATATGTTTCAGACGTTACTTTACGGTGAAAATTACAAATGTGACGTCGGAAAAAGGACTGAAAATATTCCTAAAAACAGATTTAAGACTACATTCCCATGTAAGTTTTAATAAATAAATCGTTTTCGTACATAACAGCTATGGTAGACACAACAAATATATACTTTTTTATTGAAGTTTCCGAAGATAAATCAAACAAACTTTCTATAAGATTGTTGTTGATTAGATTTTGTTTTTCTTGGAACAGATGACCACTCTAGGGTAGTATTAAAGACAGCTTCGGACTACATACACGCTAACTATATAAAAGTAAGATTATTTTCCATTAAAACAAATATCCATATTTGTAATTTTGTAAGTCATACACTTTTATTATTTTAAGTCATCAGAATCTTTTAGGTGAATTTTTGCTGCACATGAATCAAATGCAACGAATTAAGTGTAGTTTTGTAAGGATTGAGAATTCTTTTATCAAGATTTCGATTGGATCATTGGTAAGTCGTTGGTGTAAGGGCAGGTCTCTAAAGCTCTTAAAGTGAACATGCCTCAATCAATTCTTTGAATATTTTCTATCATGATTCTTGGCAGAAGAAAAGGTAAGTACAAAGTTAAGATGAGCAAGGGATCCTCTTCCTATTTTCTTTTCATGGCTCCATGGTTACTGGGTTATATGGATATAACGAACAGTATTCAAGTTCAAATGTCAAATAATCAATACAATCGGAGCGGAGCAGAAACGGATCTTAGAGGTGAAATCAGGTGTAAGAATATGTTACATTTTACTCTGGTGAGCTTAAAGTTCTCTTTTTTAACATCAGTGAAATAAATCCTTTATAGTAATATATTTGAATAACTTTTTATTTTATATTTCTATATATTTTAGGGCGCTGAGAGAGAAAATGAATACATTGCTGCACAAGGTTTTACTTATTACTTTTTTTTCATTGTGTTTGTGAGAACATTTTTTAATATGCATGTCTAACCAAAAAATTAGAAATTTGTTTCTTATAACATAAGAATAACTCTAAATAGCTTTCCGTATTTTATCTTGCAAGCATCTTCCAGATTTTTATTTAATAGTTTGATTGTAATTAGTGTTTTTTTAACTTGATAAGTCAAAGTAAAAAATCTAAAATTTAGATTAAATATCTCTTAAGTTTGATTGAGCTGAAGGCCGAAAAGAACTTAAGTGATCGACGTGCGTTCGGTGTAAAGACAAATAATGACGCCCATCGAATAATGACCGGGGGTCATTTTTCAACGACAAAATATGACCCCCCCCCCCCCACCCGTAGAAAAAAAATCAATTCTTGTAGAAAAAGATTCCTAGGAGTCATTTTTTTATATATTAGTCCTATAAAAAATTGACCCCTATTGAAAAATTACCCCCTTTAAAATACAAAATTTATAACAGGTGAAAGTGAAAAATATGCTGTATATTGTAATTGTTCTTCCTTCGAGTAATTCATGCATTTGTTCGAATAGATTTCATCTTTGTTCTTCTTAGCACATAGGGGTAATAACTTTCCTTATTTCTCTCTATCAAAATATTGACAAATCACTTTTAAGCAATTTACAATCAATCAGTTAATCTCCATTTCTCTGATAAAGGAGCAAAGCTAGAAAAATCAAAGATGGTACATTGAGATAAAATTTATGAATATAATTTTTTTCTTTACTGACTTCATTGATACGTTGTTTCAGAAAAAAATATTTGTTGGGAAAAAGTAGAAAGTTGTAGCAGACGAATAAATATCGGTGCGCACAGATAAGTAATTTGGTCGAATTAATAAGGTTTCATTCGGAGTAAAAATAGGAAGAGTAAAAATAGGAATGGATGACAGGACGCCTCGATGCTATATATATTCTATATGTTCCATCCTATACATGCAGCCTATCATTATATTATTACAGATATTTTTAATCTTTGCAATACATATTCTTTTTATACCCCCCACACACACACACACACCCCCACCCCCCGAAAAAAAAAAATTACTTAAAATCAAAACCGAAAAAAATAATAATAAAATAAAATAAATGAACAGCAAAAATATAATTAAAACTCTATAGCTTTCAATAATACTAAAAGAGGCTCTAGATAAAATATTGAAATGAAGTTAAGCCTTCACACAAGTACTATCATATCATAATTAACTTCGTCATTATTAAAGCATACTTTAAATGTTGGTGGGGTATACTTGAAAGTATTCTGGCAAAGTAACATTTGAAAATTAGAAGAATAGCAGATTATTTTAAGCTTATTTTTAGTCCCTCCTTATAGAAAAATAAAGGTAGGGGTTTCTTGATTGCTTTTGTTGATAATCGACTTCGATCCTCCTAAAAAAGTAAGGGGTGGGGTGGGTATAACACCTAAATATATGCTCTGTAAAGCTATGGGCTTGTGTAAAATACACATTCTAATGCACAAACTATACATGTAGACATAACTTTTTGATTTACCACACAGTATTCATTACATTTTTTAATTAATTCTTGTTTCATTTCACCCTTTTACTCAGTTCTATATTTTTCAGAGGATTTAATATGAAAATCAGATCAAACATTTTTATTTTTGTAACGTCATCTTTATACTGTATCATAATATGAAAAGTTAATTGAATACCATTTCTTTTAATGTCCCCGTAATCGAAGATTCGGGGGTATTTAGTCCGTTTGTATGTCTGTCTGTCTAACTGGCGGTCTGTTTGTACGCAAAAACTTTAACCTTGAAGATAACTTTTTCATTTATTAGAGCTATGGCTTTCATATTTAACATGTGTATTCCTTGTGACAAGGCCTCACTATGGGCACCACCAAATTTGACCCATTTTACACGAAAATGCAAAATTTTTACTTGTCATAACTTTTAAACGGTAGATACTAGTACTCTCATACTACACAGATGTATTTTTTTGGCATAACCTTTCATTGGATACTAAAATCTTTGAAAACTAGGGTTTTCATACTTCACATATGTAATCCTTGTTACATTAAACCTTTCTTAAGAAACCATCAACTTTGACCCTTTGAGTTTGACCTACCTTTCAAAAACTTATCCTTAGCCATTACATTTCTACAAGTGGTGCTAGGGCTTTCCTATTTTGCAGTTGTACTTCTTGTGAGAAGACCCTACTTTGGGTACCAATATATTTAAATTGCATTTAAGAAAAGTTAAATCTTCGCTATGTTGCTATACTTGGGCATAGCTGTTTCACAAACACATCTTTTTATATATAATATGAGTTGAGGATAAGAGAGATATACCACAAAGCGTAACAGAAGAACGGACGGACATCCCGATCACTATATACTATATTTGTATAGTTTACTTAACCCTTTAGGCTTGATAAATCTTTTACTCCTTTAGATT